CCAAAGAATAAAAACCAAAACTCACATAACCCCTAAACCCTTAACCCTAAACCCATATATCTTGGTAAACGTGTGCAGGTAGCATGGCAAAGCACAGTGGCAGGCCGGGATGCACGGCCGGGTTTTGCTTGAAAGTCCCTCAGCCTTCAAGGGAGTTTCCCCAAATTAGGGGTACCATTTTGGGGATCCCCAAAATAGGAATTAGTATTTTGGGGTCTATATTGGGGTCCCCCTATTTTGGGAAACTACCTCAAAGCGCAGGTGACTCGAAAGCCAGATGGCGCAAACTTCATCCCAACGAAGGTGAACCCTGCATGTCTAGCGCGGTCCTGCCATCCATCTCAAAGCCTTCTGCTTTGGAATTTGCTGCGAGGCGTGTGCACTATAATCTTGCAACCTCTTGTGTGTGGATGTCTTAGTGTGACAGCTGCCATTGATCTCAGATCATGGAAGACCAGCGACGTGTTACCGGATTCAGACTATCAACTTAGGCAGGTCTGGTGCCATTCTGCAACTCAAAAACTTCTTCAGACAAATGCAGCACCTGCAGCTGACAGTGTCTATGTGATACCACGGGCATAGCTGACATCAGCACTAAACAATCATGTGGCCTTTCTGCTCTGCTGCTTCATCAACAGCGACCGCGTCGGACTTAGCAGTCTAGTCATGTTCTTGGCTTGTGATGCCATTGGGCATGACAGGCTTTCCCGAAAGTGTATAATCTGACATGACGTGCATCTCACTGTATATCTCAATCAGCTTGCTTTAGGCCTTTACGCTTCGGATCTGCGCCTCGTAACGAGCCACGAGCCTGCCTTGCTCAGGCGCGGCCTCGTGCCAGCGAGACAGCCGACGATGAAGCTCTAGCGAGATCGCTGCAGGACCCTTGCCAAAGCCGTGTTCAGTACAGCAGAGCTGCTGTTCTCGAGCAGTTCGTATCGATGCTCTGCAGAACTGTTTGCTTACGCTGTGGCGTGTTTGACTTTGCGCGAAACTATCAAGCGCTGTCTTGGCAGAGGGGGGCCCTTTTTAAATTGATGCATTTTAAGCTGAGAGGAGCAGCAAGATGCAGAAGTGGCACAGATGCACCCTGCTTGCAATGACGGTTGGGCCCAGCTTGGCACAATCTGTCGAGTATTAGGCCAGCCTTGGCTACTGTGGGTGTTTTCTCATAACAACATTCTGTGTACACCTCAAGGCAAGACGTGATGATCGCTCAGGCTTGCGCGACAGGGCAGCTTCGGGCTCCCCACGCAGCAGCGCGCGGCTGGCCTCAAAGATTACGTGCTGAAGACATGCTGTAGCCCAACCCACATCACAAGAATATCAGCTTACCAACACCGTGCTGAAAGCTCCCTGACTAGGTTGTCACAATGCAGTGCGGGGTGTGCCAGAGCTCTGTCCAGGCGACGGCTATGGCCCACCATACATGTGGCAGACACAAATTTGTCTTTGTTGTGCAAATGCATCAGAGTGGCACTTTGTAGCACCTGCACGCACGCCGCTGTGTTCTGTGCAGACTTCGTTTGGCAGGTACAGGTCCCGATGTCTGCGGCCCCGAACTCTGTGCTGTGGCAGCAAAATACCGCTTCTGCTTTGGCAGGGCTTCCTGTTAAGCAGCGGTGCCTCGAACAAGCTACCTTGTCAAGGCACTGGGAAGATAAGGTTCTGCGTGTCCCATGTCCAGCCTGCACATCCGAGAACGAGTTTAGGCCGGTCGACATCGGTCTGTGTGCACTTGCTTTGGCACTCTTGTCTTGAGACGTGCTGCAGTCTTTCCATCTTCTTAGACAGGATACCTGCAGCCTCTATGCAGGCAGGCGCACCTGCAGGACCATAGTTTTACAGCGTACCGCATAGACTAGCAAAGCAAAGGTGATCAGCTAGCTGTCGCAGAGGGTGATTGTTCAACGATTCCGCCTCGTGCCCAGGACTCTTCGACCCTTCCCTGCTGTCGGGCGGCTTGGACGATGATCTCCTGCATGTGGCGTGTCTTGGCCGGATCGAAAGGGCAATCCCGTGAGACTTTGAGAGATGACAGAACTCAGCATCCTTCAAGTCGTGTGAGTAGTATTTAATTTGGGGATACTATGCTACCCAATATAGAGTAAGATTATATCTTCCTTTTGGGGTATAGTATTTTATATAAGGGATATTATCTTACTAGATTCAACCACCAAAAAACACTACTCGTGTGGGGCTCAAGCGATCGTCCGGGTAAGACAGCTTGCTGACAAACTTACAGTGGAGTCTCAACGTATCTCAACGTCAGGTTTCGGTCTGCACACCTGAAAGGTGTGAGATGGGAAACACCGTGGTTGAGATGATGGTTGACACGGGTGCCCAGAACTCTGCGTGAAGCCTGGTTGAGGGACTTGCTGCAGTCACAAAACTTATAAGTGGAAGCTATGTTCGTTGCTCCTTGACATTTGAAAGGTGCCGCTGGAACAGTGCATCGCGTTTGGTTGCTGTGAGCCTGTGCTCCTGCTTTTCTGAGGTGATCTCAGAACCACTTGTGCGGAGATTACAGCTACAGGGGCACATGGACAGCAGGTTTCAAGGCCATTTGTGAAGCGCATGGTGTGTAGCCGAACTGAAATCTGCATTGAGAGGAGTGGCGGCTGGCGTCGGAACTGCCAGAATACTCGGGAAGCTTCGTGGGGTCCCTGCGACTTGTTTGCATCCCTTGCCTTTCCGCTCGTGGTCGGGAGCATCCGGGTGGGTCGAATGTTACAACTTTCATGCGGGAATCAATCTGCTGATATCTTTAACTGTTCAGTTTCCCGGCTCAACACACCTTGAGCTGCCAACTGCCAAAGGTGAAGATGGGTCACGTGGAGTTCGCGCTGGTTCCTTGCCAGGGCAAAAGTGAGTTGCAGTAAAGGTACCATGCTGGGCTTTCTGCGCCAGAGCGTAGCAAAGCAAGTCTTGTGCCCAGGATTTCTCCGTGCTTGGCGTCGAACAACCTCTCCTCCTGCTCGGGATTGATCAGATGCGCATGGCCTGATAAGATTCATAATGTATTCCAACCACGCATTTTCCAGCCTCTTCGGCTTCTGAGGCGGCGCTTCAAGTGCGTCGTGAACCTGGAGAGGCGAAGAACTACAGCCTTGAAGCGGAAAACACACAATCGGCTCAGCTTAAGTGCCCGTCAGCCATGAGCTCTCGTACCTGCGCAGGCAATGCCTTACCTTCGGTGGCAGTGACGGAGTTGAAGTTCCATTCTTGCCACCCGACTCGCGGCGCCGCGTGTCTTACAGCAGCCTGGGCAGAAATGGACGTCCAGCAATGTTTCAGGGCTTGACCGCTTCGGTTCAGGGGCACAGGGCCGGGTGATGGCAGAACTGGCCTTGCCAGCATGGTCTGCCCCAGGACAAGCTGGCTGCCCAACGATGTGAAAAGCCTGTGAAAGCAGCTGCTGGGATGTAAAGAGAGTTCGAACCAAATTTTGACAGCAATTCGTACAATGCCTCCTTCAAGAGGAGCATACACTCTTTTGAAGTCTGATGATGCACGCAACAGTTCCAGGGAGGACTCACCAGACGAGAGGCTCAGAGTCTCACCTCAGGTGCGCGTACTGTAGCCCCCTCCGCGTACACAGCTATGATCTTTTCCGTTTGACTTCACGGCTTTGTGACACAGAAAGGAAGGCTCTTTTGTTTCAAGGACGAAAGCAGCAGTTGCGTTGGCCAGTGCGAGCTCTGCAGGCAAGTATTGGCTATGTGTAATTATCCTTGCCTTAGCTGGTGCGAACGGCTCCTATTCCTTCCGTGCTCGTAGAAAAGCCCATCCAAAATCACTAGTACAGATCTTTTTGGTTGTCCTCCTGGACCGCTGTTTGAGATGGATTTCGGTGCCTCAAGTGCCGTGAAGCATCTCGCCTTGCATCCAGGGCCTGGAGCTCCAGAAGCCGCGGTGTACAGCTCGGTACAGGGAGGAGCCATCCAGCCTTTTTCGCTATTCTCGGCCTGCCGCTTGGCCAGAGAAACTGCCACAGACCCAGCAAAAGCAGGCGTGCGAGAAACTGCTGGCTGGAAATTGTGTTCTGCAGAGGTATGCTGTACGCACCTTGTCTAATTGATGGGGGTCGGTGGAGTTGCGAGCTTGCAAAGCTCTTCAAGCCAGGCCCCTGGCGATGCCTAGACGACGAGAAACAAGCGATGCAGGCGGACAGCTTCTGTACGCTGGGCAACCACCCCCTGCTTGAAATCTGAACGATGAGATTGATGATGCGATGCATCATACCCCTGAGAATTTGTTGTCTTGCTGTCAAACTGGCGGGCTGCATGCAACCCATGCCAAACACTTGAGGTGAAGCGCGGCGAAAATGTTCATGCCGTTGATGCTGCGTAAACTGCTCCGCGCGTGGCTTGCTTCTGACAACTAAATGACCAGTCTTGTTCCTTGGAGACCATCATGAGTGTACTCATGCTGAGGCATTGTCATGACACTGGCGACCGTTGCCCACTTCTTGCCTTACCGAGAGAAGCAGGTTGCCAACAGGTTCTGCAACTGCTCGGCAAATGCAGTCCGTGCACGTCGCATGTATGGACAGCGCGTACAGCGTTTCGGACGAGATAGAGAAATTGGGCATCCGTGGCTTGTCACGGTTTGACAAGTCCCTAGAACCTAGGCATCCCAGCCTAGGTTGACTAGACATTGCCTGGAGACTTCAGATGGTTCTAGCCTGCCAGCTTATTGAAAGGGAAAGTCACGCTCGCGGAAAAAAGGCAGCCGGGGTCTTTTTGGATGTGTGGTGCATTTGCATTGACTCTACAAGTAAAGTGTTATCAAGATACGTCGGTTTAGAAGCAGTAGGGAGTTAGCTCGTCCATGCACCTGGAAGGTGTGCAAAGGCAAGCCCTACTCCTACAAGTCCGACATTTGGCGCTAGCCTTACAAAGGGCAGTGTTGTGCTTGGTTGAGAAATTGCAGGCATGGGATTGACAGCTCATTCTTTATGCCAGGTCCTTGGGATGTGTGCTGTTTGAGATGATGGCGCTGCGCCCACCGTTTGGGACGGCACCAAACCTGGAGGCATGCTTCAAGAATCGCAAGACTTTTGCCTGGCGGATGGCTTTACACCAGGAACCTTGCTTAGCTCTGTTCATTGCAGCTCCCCGGCAGGCTTTGGTGAATCGGATAGTCCGCGCAGATGTGACCTTGCCGGAACACCTCACGCACGATTATCCGGAGGCATCTCGCTGTACACGTGCAATGCTTCGCCAGCAGCCAGATAGAAGACCAACTGCGCACTCATTGTTAAATCGTCCACGGCTTCAACCTCCAGGGTATGACTTGCCGGGAATGCACTCTGCGGAGTCGCCATCGACGCCATCAACGCCGCCGACTGCATCAATACAGCTGGCACCACCATACAAAGCCTTCGAGCCTCCAGGGCGCACTGAGAACTCCCAGGCATCGAAGCAGAAGCTCGTGGCAGCACAGGCGGCTGTTGCAGCAGCCAATGCCGCGGTCAAGGCGGCAGCCCTCTCACCGCGCACTCGAGGGCGGGCAAAGCTGGCTAATCAGATCCTGGAAGCAGAGTCAGAGGGTGCCGCGAAAGTGTTGGAAGAGTGCACCGATGCTGACAGGCCATGCCATCGTGGGGCGGGACAGAAGGGCGTCATTACAGACGTTCCCTTGTCGGGACGTTCTCGCCGCCAAGCAAATGCTGGGTTTCATGGTAACGCTAGTCCCGCGCACCCGACATACCCGGCTTCGCCCAGCGTGGCAATTAGCACCGGCCGGCCTGCTAACACGGACGGGGCCAACGTTCGCTCCTGCTCCGGAGACGTCCGGCCACGTCAGCCCTACTGTAGTCTAGTTGGACAGCCGCAGCCGCTGTCCGCAAGACAGAAGGCCGGATGCATGTGTGCAGCATTTTTTTGGATATAGTTTATCAGTACATCCAAGCCGTGGACGGCTGGCAGGCGTATCAACCTTTCTCACGGCCACAGCCGCTTCAAAGGCCTGGAGCTTGCAATAAAGCATTTGGGGAGCTCATGTTTTATGAGGGTTACGCTTACGGCAGTCTCAAACCCCTGACTCAGAATCCTGAAAGCTATCGGAAGATATCTTATCGGAAGCATCAGAATCCATCTGGCGTGCACTGACCTTCTTGACCAGAGACGATTGCCTTGATTTTGTAGCCTGATACACATTTGAAACATTCGAGAAGCCACCACGTCCCGCCGAAGATGAAACATCACAGTGTTGGCCAAGGGGCTCTGCCCTGCTGGGCCATGCACACCAACCACGTATGACGGCTGAGGCAGGAATGAGGCCAAGCAGCTAGACTCTGACACAGCAGCGGCATTCTGCTGGTTTTGGTTGGGTTGTGCTGGTGAGAGTGGTCGCGCCCCTTGCTTGGCCATCTTGTGCTGTTCTTTGATGTTGTTTCCTGGAGTTGGGGTGCTGATCTTGCACCAGGGGCTTATGCTAAGAGCGGTCACAGCAGACTCAAACCATTAGCTCAGTGCTGAAGGCCATTGAAAAATGTCTTGTCGGAAGCATTCGAAGCTGTCCGGCGTGCACTGACCTGCTAATCTTGACCAGAGATGATCGCCTTCCTTTTGTAGCTTGCAATGCCGGATGATGCCGGCAATCCTTTCACAGCATTGTCGTGATAGAGCTTGATGCACGACTCGCAGAATGGTGAAGTCTCACACATTGAAGCCTTTTCGAGAAGCCACCACGTCCCGCCGAAGATGAAACATCACAGTGTTGGCCAAGGGGCTCTGCCCTGCTGGGCCATGCACACCA